GGGCCGCCCCTGGACATCACATCTGCCCCTCTGTTCAGAACACTGGGTATGTAAACTGATGGTTATGTATGCAGCAGTCATCATGTTGTCTGAGAAAATCAACACCTGTTGATTCTGTAGCACGGGAGCAAAGTGTTGAATCACATTCAGCACTGTGCGACACTCCAAAGACATTTATTTGGGCTGATGTGTGGTGGGGCCACAGCGCCCCTACTGCTTGAGATAGGTATGTCCCCCCCCCAGCCTGACAGCGACGCGTCCGTGAAGACTGACACTGTGACGTGGGTCTGCTGACGGGAACTCCCTCTGACAGAACCAGGGTGTTTCCCCAGTGTCGGAGGTCTGCTCTCACGGAGGGAGGGGCAGTGATCGTCCGTCTCTTTTGTTTTACTGGATCCACACGCAGACGCACAAACCACCTCTGGAGGCGTCTCATGTGTAACAAACCCAGCGGAACCGCTGTGTGAGCTGATGACATCATTCCTAACAGCTTCAAGATTGAAATAGCTGTTCCCACTTTGCCAGGTCTATAAGGCGAAGTTGACTTTTAAAAGTGTCGAACCTTGTTTGTGATAAACGAGCCTTCATGGTGGTTGAATTTAATTCTACTCCCAGATAAACAATTGTCTGGGCCGGGAAAAAAATCGAGCTTTTCTTCCAATTTATGGCGAAAACCAGATTTGACAGGTGTGATGTCCACACCTGAGCCTGCATCAGCGCCTCCTGTCTGGAGTGACAGGAGCAGCAGATCATCCAGGTAAAACAAAAACTCTCATCCCTGCTCTGTGTAACAGATACTTCATCCCCTGAAAGGAGAAAAAATGCAAGAGTTTTATGTGTTTTGAGATGATCGGTATGCCTTTCTCTGGATGTTGTACAACAGCTGTCTGGTTGTCAACATGTGAAAAAACGGTCTGTCAATGATCATCTTGTTGAAAAAACTGACAGATCCACGATCGGTCTCATTCCTCCGGTCCGTTGGAAACCGGGAAGTAACGTGAGTAAAACCCTGTGTTTTCTCTCTGTTGGGGAACTCTGGAGATTACTTTTATCTGAAACACTTGGACTTTTGCATTTAGGGATGAGATTTGGTCTGATGATGACAGGACCGTTTCTATAACTCCTCCGAACGGAGGGGGTCGGGTTGCAACTGTAACTTGTAACTATTTGCATTACGCCCTGTCCATCCATCTGACCGGTGAGCATGTTTTAGCCCCTCTACATAATGTTTGTGGAGTGAACGTGCGTTTAAGGTATGCGTCACGTTGTACGGCCGTCAGCAGTCCACCCCTCGAGACCGCTGTCATGCATCGCGGGAATGTTTTCTGCGTGACCCAAGGCGAGGCTTCCTCGAAAAAAGGCTCTGAACGCGCTCGTGCGCTGCGTTCGGGCCGCGGACCAACCTTCATGTACGGTGGGCCGGTGTGTGCTGAGGCAAAGCGTGTGACAGCTGATGACGCTGTGGGGCTGCGCGATTGACGTCGTTGTGCAAACGTTGAGAGGCGGAGGGAGTGACTTCATCTACGCTGTGCTGTTGGAGTGAAGGCTGCGAGCCTCGCGGGAGTACACGTTTTCTCTGGAGGGACGCGCGCCGCTCTCGCTGGAAGGAGGCGGAGCTCGTCATCAGGGTTTGTTCAGCTGCCTCACGCTTATGCTGAGACGCGGTGGGTGACGGCTGCCCACGTTTGATTCGGTGGGGCGAGTGCCGCTCTTGTGAGAGCAAAGACCTCCACCTCACCCAGCCTGCGGTCCACATTTATACCGATGTGAGCCGGAGAGCACCGGGCAGCTGTGTGTGTGTGAGCCACATCAACACAGCGCCGTTGGATGGAGGCTGTTTCATCCCACGAGTGCGAGTTTGACACCGCTTGGGTGAGGATTGTGCTGCTCTGGATGATAACGAGTTATTTTCGCTTACCATTGTGTCGTGTGATCGACTCGTCATGTCTTGGAGCGACGGTGAGTTTAAAAAAAACCTTATTTAAGGACACCGGCTCGTTATGTGTGAAGGATGTGTGCACAGCCGCTGTGAGTTCATCCGAGCTTACAGACTGGCTAAAAAACAGACACTTTGATCATTGAATGATGATTTATTTCAACTTTCGTGTCACTTTTACGCACACCCTCCGGAGACCGTCATTTTCAAAACTTCTCCCTCTTGAGCTCTGCGATTCGTTTGCCCAGAGCGCTGTCTTGCAGGCGAACTCTAGGGAAAACGCCGAACTGCAGGTTGCCGGAATGAAGAGGGCTGGATTCTGACGGGCGGGGCTGGTGGTGGAACTGAGCGAGAGCCGCGGCCGTGGAAACGTTGGTGCTTGCTAGCGACGGTCCCTCCAGTGGGCCGGGGGGCGGGATGAGCCGCGCAGCTTGATGAGGTGGCGCACAGCCTCTGGCACCTCCTCCGACTGCTTCAACTCGCTAGCATGGAACTGAAGCTGCTCTCGGAACAGCGCGTCCGCCGTGATGGGCCCTCCATCAGGTCTTTGTGCAGTTTCTCCGGCAGCGAGGGAGAGTAATGAAACCAAGTGGATCATTGGATCGTCGTCATCCATGCTGCAATCGTCGACAGGCAAACCGTAGAAGAGGCACACATGTTGAAGATAACATCTGCTGCCTTACAGAGGGAGTTATTTGTCTCCAAGGCTGGTCTGTGGCCTTCAGCCCCTTTGGACAGGATATATGCTAGCAGCGCCACGTTGTTGCTAGCTGCGGCTGCCTGAAAGCACATTGATGGGCTCGATTGGAGAGCACGGTCAACGCCTGGTTCGTGTTTCTCCGGAGGGATGGGACGCTGCTCCGACCTGGACAGCTTAGCTCCGAAGCTTCCGCGAGGCTCGGCTCCAGGGGGGTTACCGAGGGATAGTCCCGCCCGGTGAACCCTTCCACTCTGGTGATGGGTGCGGACTGGGGACCGACTCTCCCAATCTACCAGGAAAAACCCGTCTGTGGCCTCGCCCGTAGGATGTCCTGTTGGGAGCGCGAGGCCATATGGGTCAAGACGGTGAGCCGGAATGGAGCCCAGAAAACAACCTTCCTGCCGATCATCCGAACTGGCGGGAAAAGGCATAGGACGTAAAAAAGGGGTCCTTTCATGTCAGCCTCCTCCTGGTTACGCCGGGCAACCCCTGGGGCGCCATCGGACGGGAGCGGTGTGATCGCCGATGCGAAAAACGAGGTGGGATGGGGTGAGCATTCACTCAGCCCCCCCCCCCCCCCACGACACTACGCTCCCCAGGAGGGAAAAGGCAGCGGGGGCTGCAGCTGAGCATGCCTATCCCGGAGGAACCATCCGATTCGCTCCGAGGGTCGGCGATAAGAGGAAAAAATACAAGATGGCGTTGTCCAGCGTGTAGTGACCTGTCACTGGGAAATATTCCTCGGCGCTTACCTTGAATAGGACTACTCATCATCTTCTCCTCGGTGGGGGAGAACTCACCGGACGACCGGAGGTCGACTGCCGGGCCAAGCATCCTTAACAAAGGTTGGTCATCTACACAATTTTCCTTCTTTGTTCTTCTGACAGTGCTATATTAGCTCGCTGAAGAAAAAATGGGAGCCGATTTCCCGCTCTTAACGTAATTTATACGGACCGGGTGGGGCCCACACAGCAGGTGGGCGTGGACTAAATTTTTTCAGTGCTTATGCTGCGCATAACGGGATAAACCCATAAGCGACAGCCTTAAAGGGCGAAGCCTATATGACATAGAACATGCATGTTAGGCTGATTGGTAACTCTAAAATTGTCTCTAGGTGTGCGCGAGAGAGTGAATGGTTGTTTGTCTCTATGTGTCCCCGTGATGGACTGGAGACCTGTCCAGGGTGTCCCCCGCCTCTCGCACAGTGACTGCTGGACATGGGCACCAGTGACCCCAGTGACCAGAAAAGGAAGAAGCAGGTTAAAGAAAATGGATTCATGGATTCATACAAAAGTATTAAATTTTCCCAAATCACGCCATGTGGATTTAGAACAAACTTACCGGTAACATTCATTAAAGGAAAATAATTAATTTAAGACTGGACCAGCAGTTTAAATTAATTTTAATCTGATCACAACATTTAACTCAATTTAAAAAAATCCCTTAAAACATGTGAAAGTAACTGCAGCTTTATTTTGAAACAAACTAATCGTTTTTCTTCTTCTTTTGGCAGCGAACTAACTTACATGAAGATTTGTCAATTGTTTTTACACCAGATGTCCTTCCTGACGCAACCACAGACCACCACTGTGTAGAGGGGGGAGTTGGACCTGTGACCCACTGGCCCACCTTCTCTAACCTCTTCGCCACCACTCCCCATTAGCTTACACCACATACCTGACAGATTTGTTAGGTTGCAGGTTCATCAGCAAGAGTTCAACTCATCCCATTTGGATGCTCTGTGCTGCTCTTTCTGTGATAAAATCAATGATCAATAAGTTCACATTTCATTTTCTTTGCTTCAACGTTTTCTATAGCTATAAAATATATACACTATGCTCTGTTATTATTATTTTAAACAAAAGGATAAGCAATCTGTCACAGATTAACGGTCTAAATCGAACACTTAAAATATCTCGCAGACCGGATACAGTTCTAAAAAGGGCCTTGTCTGGCCTGCGGGCCTTCATTTGACTGAGATAAAGGAAGTGAACTCCCATAAGTAATAATGTCAACAAAACCATCATCGTGTTATTGACGAATCAATTAAAAAGTCACAAAATATAAAACAAGTAATTGAACAGGTTCTGTTGGTGTCAAACATTTAGTCTATGGTTTTGTCAAACATGGTCCAACAAAGCATTTATTGACAGCAGCCTAATTATTACAACACAGAGTTTAACTTGGTGTTTGAGGCTATAGGTCACACTTAAACACTATTAACACTAATGCACCAAAAGTGATACTTGTGTAGGAGAGGCCCTAAATCCCTGCGGCGGCACTTTGTAGGAACTTTAGAGTTTAATGGGTTTTCCTCACTTCTGTTCAACAGCAGAATGGCTCTGACAGATGCTCTGTACTCACAGCGCCTCGGTGCTGGCTGGAAACGTCGGGAGAGAATCGACGTCAAAGCAGGAGATGGTTCGATCACCCCACTCCGAGCACTCGCACACCGCCGGGCAGGAGTCAGCCTCCGAGCCGGCGCTGCTGACGGGGAGAGCGGCGAGCAGCAGGGCGCACGTTATCACCTGCATGTCGGTGTCCCC